GCCCAACCTCCACACAGAGGATCTACGCCACAGAATGCCCTGGGAATAGGATAAATACTTGGTTAACTAAGCCATTTGAGCACAGCGCTCCAAACTACAAATCAGGGCTGTGGCTCCCAACATGAAGCGATTACTGCAGCCCAAATCCTGGTCAGCAAACCCTATATGTAGGTCATGGTGGGAGTATGGGTGGGGGCAGGGGCGTGGGGATGGGAGCAAGAGAGGTGTGGGGGAGGAGGAGAGGGAGAGGTGTAGCCAGGACAGAGAGAGGTACAGGAGGGAAGAGAAAGAGGTGTAATGGAAAAGAGAAGGTCCGGGGGCCACAAACTCAAATACCTACAGCAGGCCAAAGGGCAACAATGGCTTACATGGGCCATAAAAAAGAAAACAACAACAGAGTAAAAAGGTAAGCCTGAGGTAGTAACATACTTTTGGGGAGGCCATAATGGAGCAGAGAGCAGAAGGATTCCTGCTTCAAGAGAAGAGGGATGTCTCGTTTCCAACTGATGGTTGCTATGTGGGAAAGTAAAGCCCAATGCAGTCAGAGCTTCCGATTTGTTTTTCCGCCCAGAGAAGACAGAAATCTGGATCTTTGCATGAAGTCTCAAAATATTTAAACATGGCAACTCAGTCAAAATGTGAAACTGAGCAGAACTGAAAAACCAGGTCTGTGGGTCCCAGCGGGCCCCACCAGCCCTGTGTCTGTAAACTCAGAGGCTGCTCTATGCAGGTCAAGTGAAGAACCAAAAGCAAGTTAGCAGCATGCACCCTGCTGGTGGTGAGTCAGGCCTATCCACATGCTGGGGACAAACAAACAGCTGGGGACAAACATCGAGTCCACATAGTAGGAGAAGAGAGGAAATGAATGAATAGGAAATGAAGCACTCCAGTACATCAGTGCCCAAAAAATTGAAAAGCATTTTAGGAATCCACTCTGGTCCTAGTTTATGTATACAGGAACCTTAAAATCTGGAAACAAGACATCAAAAACTGAAAAAATTTCAAGAATTCAGGATTTCCAGCCTATTCCTCCAGTTAGGCCCATATACCAGATTCTTGTTACTGTACAAGTTTTTAGATGCTGACCCCACAATTTATCAGAAAACAGAATTATTACTCTTATCTTGCTCAGATTTGGGAAGCTGGTCTCAAGGGTAAAAGAAATAATTCAAAATATCTGAACACAGAAGAGATTCCTTCTGGCAAATGTATCAAATGTTTCTTTACTTAAAAAAAAAAAAAAAAAAAAAAGGTATTCTCCTACAGTCAAATCCACAAATCAGCTTAAAATTCCAGCATACCCACTATCCCATGACCTCAATGTTCACATTATCTCATTCATTTCCACTCATAAACACACTATACATTCTCATTACTAAATAAGTCTTTCCCTTATTCACTTCAACCTCATTTAGTTTGCATATGGGTGTATGAAATTTATATTTTTTTTTTTTTTTTTTTTTATCTCTCTATATGGTCGATTAATTAAATTATTTGAACCCTGCCATGAGACTTCATTCATGGCAGGAGAGACGATTGCTAATGATAGGTTGATCTGGAGAGGTCTAAAACACAGGATCTGCTATCAAAAGAGTTTAAAAGCAAATGAGTTCAGCCTTACCAGATGATTTCAGTAGATTAGTAGTTCTCAGCCCAAGCTGGGCATTAAAATCATCTTTTTAAAACACCTATGCCCAGGCTCCACTCTAAACCTACTGAAGTAGAATCTTGGAGAAAGGGACTTGGGCATTTGTATTATTTAAAATGTTGAATGATAAATTAGAGGTAACTAATGATCAGCCAGGGTTGAGAGCCCCTGCAGGATACGGCTCAATTACCCATTCACCTGTGACACGTAATTTCGATGATAAATTTAACTAGTTACTCAATGATCTCCACCTTGAACTACATGAGAAGACAATCTCCTCTCCACTAACTACTTACGTAAATTGGATTTAGAGCCTGGGACACTGATAAACTACGAGGATCCAAAGACAAGCAACCCCATAATTCTTGCCCCTTAGTCAATTCACCTTCCCCGTCAAGTTCATCAAATGGCAGGGAGGGGAGAAGGGGGCAATAGGAAACTCAAAGTCCCAGATTTCAAAACATAATTAAAGCCTTCCCAAAAGTCCCCTCACAGTCCTCAACATCTTACCCAATTCTGGCTTTATCTGATGCTGATTCAGCTGGTTCCCCACATTCCACAAATACCAGTCTTCTTTGTTCTCAGCAGAAGTTTGGTACTTCTCACATGTTGTCCACAAAATCCAGAATGGCCTCATGGCTTCACTTACCCTCCAAACTGTAGATACCTCACCTCTACCCTCAATCTTGAAATCTGCCTTTCTCCCATCTAAATTATTCAAGGCCCTGAAAGAAATGGGCTTAATTTATATTCATGTTCCCACCAATTTTTTCTTTCTAGCACTCTCCACCTGAATATCTAAGAGATTTTCCCCATTTTTCCATCTGTAATCAGACTAAGGAATGTTTTTCATACTTGACTTGCAAATCCTGCAATATTAGGCTCAGAAATTAGACTTCTTCCCAATACACGCAGACCTGTACTGCATAAGATACAATCAAGAGGAACTTGTGCATGTCACAACTCTCTGCAAGAAATAAAATTCCCCTCTTTAGGTTGATAGGTGATCATAGCAGTTTATAGATGGAATGGTCTTTTAGAAAAAAAAAAACTGTAAAAAATAAATAAGATGGGTACATTCCAATGCACAATAACCTACTGGGCAGTGCAGTTAGTGACTATGAGTAAGGACCTACAGACTCAGTTCCTGGGTTCAATTCGACCATGCATCTGTCATATCTCTGTGTCTCTTTTTTCCCTGCTGTGTAAAGAAAATATTAGGACCTGTCTCATGAAGTCATTTAACATATGTAAAGTTCTTACAACAGTGCCTGCATAGCAGCAGTAAGTCTAATTCATGTTAGTTATTATGTTTTTATTGCTGAGTGCAAGGCTAAACATCTTGCTGTCCAGGGGAGCAAGCCTTTTAAATTTCTTTCACTGATTTAAAGAAAGTGAATTTGTGACAAGTTGTTTTTCAAATTGAATTTTGACATTTCTGGTCTTTTCCCATTATTTTCTAAATTCAGTGAATGAAAGCATGGAATTTGTTAGATTATTTCTTGACATTTTAGTTCCATTAGGAATCCCATTTAGTATTAGTTAAGCCTTGTTATGAATACAATGCTATTTAAAATGAAACTATGGGAGAGAGATATTTAGGGAGAGAGAAAATATCACTTGCCACTTACTAAATTGAGATTTTAAAAGCCAAAGAAGGGAGGGAGAATTTATAAACTGTGGGCGACCTTTAAATGTCCTATGTACTAATATATAAATGTAAACACAGAAAAATGTAATAACTGGTAATAGCAAATTAATCAATACAATTACATTATAGGTTCTGATATTATAAATTATGCTTTCAGTACAGAATATCAATAGCTTTTTAACACCTTTTAAGATCAAATTATAAGTGCACCAAATTTCATCTAGTTTATCTAGATGAATTAGGTAAATTTCAACTAATTTACCCTGCATGTCGTTTATAAGTATGTAGCTTACTTCTTCTATTACTTGCTTGGACAGCTCCACATACTAAACTTCCAAATATACAAGATGTTAGAGCATAAATTATTTTAAATACTGAGTTAAAAATAAAAAGAAGTTTATCACCTCATTAAGATAATCTTTCAATAACATTTACTTGAATAATGTGTCTAGAATAATGTCGTTACTATTAACCTTAGCTTACTTTCAGAAGTTAGTGTAGTTACTATTAACCTTAGCTCACTTTCAGAGGCTTCCTTTCAGAAGTTCAGGAGGAGGGTTGGTTACTTGAGCAAATATCAGTTTTTAACTGAATTACACAACACAGAACAGCATACACTTTGAAACAATGGGGGGAAATGGGGTAGATACTCATATACTTCTATAGGCCATTTATATAGTTCTCACACCATGAAAACAAATATTGAGAGCCACTGACATCTAAAGCAAGAGTTCATGACTTGTCCTGTTTGAGGAGAATTTAGGGCCTGATGTTCCATCTGAAGATTCAAAGAATTAAAAGGTGCTCTTTGAAGCCTTCATTAAAAGATTTCATTGATGAAGAGACAGAGTCCCAGTATGTTACCCAAACAGCTAATATGAATTCTAGCATCCAATTCTGAACACGTATTGCACACTTAAAAGTATTAGTCACTTAACTTTTACGTATATCTGATTTCGGGGACAGATCTGGGAACTATCTTTATGACTATATCAACAGTCACCCAGGATCTGACACAGCGCACACACTAGTAAATACTCCTAGAATATGTGGCATTAAACTAAAGACACTCAAAAGGTGGACGGCTTAGTGTAAGCAAACAGCATCCTTCTACGTAAGTTCCTGCCCCAGTCACTGATGGAGAACAGCTCACAAAATTAAATTCCAAGGGCTCCATCAGTTGTAACTTCCGAGTATCTGTTGCTAGCACCAATCAACTTTCTAACTCCAAGGAGCAAAAGTGGGGCGGGCCTTAGCCGGGGTCAAAATTCACACCTGACTGAGCAGCACCTTCCAGCACTCCCTTGAGAAGCGTTTTCTCAAACACCTAAAGCTGTGCTTCTCAAACTTTAACAGTCATTCCAATCACCTGGGAGCTTGTTTAAAAGCAGATTCAGAGGCAGTGGGCCTGGAGGAGGGCATCAGACTGTGCATTTGTAGCGAGCCCCCAAGGGACTCCCATGCAGCGTTGCCTCCCAGCACCCTTTGAGAAGCAAGGCCCACAAACGCCCAAAGACATCCAGGTCACTTATACTAGCAACGAAAGTTGGCGGGCACAGGTAGCTTCCAATAAAGTCTGGGTGCTGTGTCCTCTGCGCGTCGCCACCGGGTCCTGGGGCACCTGGCAGGTGCCTTGGCCTTGGTGTGCTCACGGATAGCCCGCCCCACAGCCGCGCCCCCACTCCGCGCCCCAGCGCTCACCTTCTCCCTGGTCTTCAGGTACCGCTGCAGCGCCTGCTGCGTGAGCTCCCGGACGCGCAGCTGGCCCTCCTTGCAGGGCACCACGATGCCGGTTCTGCCGAAGCACACGGTCACTTTCATCCTGGCCCCCGGCGCCCACGCCGGGCCCGGCCGAACAGGTGTCCGGCCCCACGGGAGCAGCCCACACTCTGGGGGTTCGCCCGGCGCAGGGGGGTCCGGAGACCCGGAGCACCTCTCCCCCGCGCCCCCTCAGGGCCCGGGGTTCGCGGCAGCGCCCCTCCTCGCGGCGCAGGCGGCCCCGGGGCGGGTGGCAATCGGGGAAGGGGGCGGCTGCGGGAAGGGCTACCTCCCAGGTAGCTGGTGCCCAGGGACGCGGCTGCACTGTGGCCGGGCTCCTCCTCCTCCTGCTCCGTCTCCCGCTCGGGCCCGGACAAGGCGGCTGCTCCGAGCCCGCCAAAGCGAAACTGCCGGGCCAGCTCTGGCCCTGGCCCTGCCCCCTGGCCCCGGCCCTGGCGGCGGCGGCTGCGGGGCCGACTCCAGGCCCCGGGCTGGAGTGGGCGGCGGCGGCGGCGGCGCGCGGGGCCGGAGTTGGGAGGAAACTTTTGCGCCGGATCCCAACTCCTCGGCGGCGCGCGGCGCTCTGGGCTCCCGCGGCCCCGGGGCCGGCCTGGGCCCGGCTCTTAAAGGGGCCGCGGCGCTCCCGGGCCCCGCCGCGCACTCGGCTGCGCGGGGCGGGGAACCCGTGAAGCCGGTAACAGGAGCCCGGGAGCCTCGTCCCCTCACTCGATCTCTCCCTGGCTCTGTCCCTCCTGCACACACGCTGAGCTCTGGAGAATTGTAACGGGACCTGAGAGCTACCCACCGGGGGATTGAAACCGGATCTCATAAAGCAACCTTGAGGGATTAGCTAGGAGACTGCAGAGCTACACCGTTAAAACGTAAGGCTTGGAGCGAGATTCAAGGAAAGCCTGAGAGCAGGTGCTTGTCGCCACGCCCACCAAAAACACCGGAGGAGTGGCAGCTTACAGGTACTGAGCTGCAGGGATGACCCAAGGGCCTGCCAGGAACCTCGTCTTAAGCAGAGCACCGATTCTGTCCTCTGGAGTCCTGAGATGGCAAAACTGAACCCCCAAGGGGTTCTTGGGGATAACGTGGGAGTGGAACTCTTCCTTCTACAGAAGACGACACAGATTTTCCCCAAAGGTCACATTCCAGACCCAGACATGATAGCCCATTTTTACATACATCCTTCAGAAATGTGCCTCCTCTTGTGCATTTGACTAGAAAAACAATTTTAAACACTTGAAGGCTCATGATTTGGGAGGCATGTGTCCACCACCAATTGAAATAGGAGTATCTGAAAAAATAATTCAAAAAAAAAATTTGTATCGTTCTTACGTCACAGATCAATGAGCTCCTTTGAGTCTAACAACAACCCCGTAAGGTATTATTTTTCAAATTTTGTGCATGAAGAATGGTGCTGAGGAAGGTTAAGGAACTGAACTGACCATGAAGTTAGTTGTGCTCAGAGAAACTCAGTTGTTCCCATGCTAAATTTCTGATCTCCCCAAATTGTTTTTCCAGCAGTCTAGTTCATCCAGCACCATACTCAGGGCTACATCATGTGTTTTCCTACAAAAGAATTTGTTTCTTTGTCAGGACACATTTAGGGGCTTCTGGGTGGCTCATTGGGTTAAGCATCTGACTCTATCTCCGCTCAGGTCATGGCCTCAAGGTTTGTGAGTTCCAGCCACGCTTCTGGTTCTGCAGGGACAGCACAGAGCCTGCTTGGGATTCTGTCTCTCCTCTCTGCCCCTCCCCCGCTTGCGTGCTCCTACGCATGCGCGCTCTCTCTCTCTCTCTCTCTCTCTCTCTTTCTCTCAAAATAAATAAACTTTAAAAAAAAGTCACATTTAAATTGAACTTGATTACCTAGAACAGTATGATAATGTATAGGAGATTAATGGGCTTATGAATTTTGAAAATTTTTAAATTTTGTAACTCATTCATACATGTAATATATATTGGTTTTCTTCTGTATAGGACCTTATATAAATAAGGTCAGTGACATCAAAAAGGATCACACAGACCAAGTGTATTTGGAAATATATATTAGTATAATTTGGTAGCAAACGCAATACAAACTAATTTAAATAAACTAAGGACAGAATCACTTTCCTCATTCTTTTTTCTCATAAAATCAGAAGATCCAGAGAGCACTCCTCCGAGGCAGGATTGAATCTGGAGACTAAACCATGTCCTCAGGGGCCATCTTTCTAGATCTAATGACCCTGAGTTCCTCAGGATTTCCCCAGAGGAGGCAAAGATGGCCACTCCCAGTGTTCCTGATTTACACAGCCCTAAAGACAGGCATCTCAGACATCAGTAAGCCTTTTCTGGTAAGGGCTTGCATATCCAAGCTTGAGTCACATACCTTCCCTCAGTCGAGATGATTGGGCAGACCTGGTTCACCTGACACTAAATCATGTGAACTGAAACCCGGAGGGTAAATACCCAAAATATGGGTCAACAAAATATATTGAACCACCACAAAATATAAAATTGCTTTCCAACCCTCGGGGGGCTTATAGATAAATAGCAAGGGAGACAAGGCCTACAGATGTGAAAAGTTCAACAGCAACTATAAAACAACAGTAAATTTGATAATTCTACTGAATGTTATTGATTTATATGTATGCCATGCCCTGTTTAAAGTGACTATAACATAGAAATAAAAATGGAGATATGAGGGGCGCCTGGGTGGCGCAGTCGGTTAAGCGTCCGACTTCAGCCAGCTCACGATCTCACGGTCCGTGAGTTCGAGCCCCGCGTCAAGCTCTGGGATGATGGCTCGGAGCCTGGAGCCTGTTTCCGATTCTGTGTCTCCCTCTCTCTCTGCCCCTCCCCCGTTCATGCTCTGTCTCTCTCTGTCCCAAAAATAAAAAATAAAAAAAACGAAAAAAAAAGGAGATATGATATATTAGGTAACAACATAGAGAGGGAGATACCTATGTATCATATAAGAACATAGAGATGCCTATGTATCATATATTATGTATCTGTATCTTATTTTCCTTTGCAATAATCTTACAAGAGAGGTACTTTTGTCACCCTCCTTTTAAAGATGAAACTGAGGCTGGTAAGGTCACAGTCTTAGCAAGTAGCAGAGGCTGAACTAGAACCCAGGCAGTCTGACTCCACCAGAGTCTTGCTAGTAACTACTATGGCTGATCTTACGTGGTAAGTACCAAATCAGTAGAGCACAGAAACAAATATTAAGGCTATGCATTAATATGAGACCCTTTTAATGTTTTGTATTTTATGGACACGTAGAATGATACAGAGCAAAGCTTTTTAGCTGATTAAATGACTATTCTATATCTTCTTGGCTTGTTTGGTTTTTTTTCTCCTCACTTGCTCCAGACTCTTACTCTTCTGCTCAGATAATGAAGAATCCTTGCTCTTCTCCACACTGCAAACTTCCTCTGGGCCCATCTTTAGCCTGTCTCCAATATCTAGAGCCCCCTGTGTCTTGGCTTTCAGAGGCCCCAGGTTAACCAGGAAGAACACACAGGCTGTCCACGTCCCACTTGCAGAAAGATTGGCATCAGCTCCTGTGACATGTAGCAGAGGCTAAGCGGTTGTAAGATGAAGGGAGAGAGGAAGCTAGGCACGCATATGAACAATGCATTGTGCAATCCTGCACACCATGGAGTGAACTTCAATGACCCCAAGCTAGTAATTAGAAAAAGAGTTTAGCGTCTATTAATTCATGTTTATTAAGTAGCCAGATTTATTTTTTTTTTGGGACAGAGAGACAGAGCATGAACGGGGGAGGGGCAGAGAGAGAGGGAGACACAGAATCGGAAACAGGCTCCAGGCTCTGAGCCATCAGCCCAGAGCCTGACGCCGGGCTCGAACTCGGGGACCGCGAGATCGTGACCTTTAAGTAGCCAGATTTAATTTGTTCTTTGGTCTTATCACAGCATACATAGAAACAACTTATATATTAAGCAATCTAAAAGAACGTAGTTACAACACAGATACTCATGCCCGGCAAATTCCTAAATCAATATTTCATGCCCCATGGGACTCCTGGACAGAAGAAATAAATAATTTGCCTTGATTGAGTAACACTAGAGGATTCTAGGCCTGGGTTCCATTTTCTTGTTTTGCCTGTTGGATGGATAAATATTGCCGTGGTGTGATATTTTCCCATTTGTTATCCAAAAGCTTAGCAAGTTGTGGAGTAGCCAGTGAAAATTTTATGCAGAGAACAATAATACTAACCAATATTATTAAACTTCTCTGCCTTACAAAAAGTATAACTAAAATGTCAGGTACCATTAGGCATATATTAAATAAAAAATGGTAATTTGGGGGGCGCCTGGGGGGCGCAGTCGGTTAAGCGTCCGACTTCAGCCAGGTCACGATCTCGCGGTCCGTGAGTTCGAGCCCCGCGTCGGGCTCTGGGCTGATGGCTCAGAGCCTGGAGCCTGCTTCCGATTCTGTGTCTCCCTCTCTCTCTGCCCCTCCCCCGTTCATGCTCTGTCTCTCTCTGTCCCAAAAATAAATAAACGTTGAAAAAAAAATTTTAAAAATGGTAATTTTTATATATAGTTGACCAGGCATCCATTCTAATGTTTAGCACCATTAAAACAGAAACAATTTTCACCCCTCAAGGCATTTTATATAACAAGCAATATTTATCTCCAATTCAGTAAATGTGGTTTGTTGGTTTGTTTGTTTTTTCATAATAATCTTCTTTCTAAGACCTTTGGAACAAGTAGTACAACACAATATGTTATTTGCTTCCTTGCGAATGCAGGTGCCAGAGTGATATCATAAAAGAAGAAAAATGGGTATGATTCTTCATTCTTTCCTTCCATGTTTAAAAGCAAAGAGTTTGGGCTATTGTTTAACTTGGCAAGAATGGGTTTTTCTTAAGAGATGTTTGTCTCTAAGTGCCTGATGGCGTTCATTTGTTGACTGTTTCTTTGTTGACTCTTTCTGTAGCTCTCCTTAAAACACGAGTAACAATGCTATACACCCCAAAGGGAGTATTGTGGGCTTTCAGATTTTTGAAAGGTCCTTATTTATGCCTTTTCTATAAGTAACACTCATAAGTCTCCACAATGATACAGCTAGACCTCTCCTCCTTATACTGAATTCCACTCTATGGATAATAATGTACTGCTTTGATTTATGTTTTCCTGAAGAAGAAGAAAAAAAAAA